GTGATCCGGATAAGCTTGTCAACTGAATCAAAACCCATGCACATTGTAAACAGAGTTTCAGAAAGATAATTTGGCCCACTGTTGGTTCACTTTCTTAAATGAATATATTACAGAGGGCGCACACTTCATATTATGTCATTTTCTCGCGATGCATTTGGTGGCGTGCATGCGGACAGTTTGGTGGAGGCACTTTCCCCGGACATCCCCGGCTTCACAGGTACCGGTCACAAAGAGTTACATGTAAGAATTTTCCGACATGCCAATGAAAATATTAAATGGGTCATGCGATGCAAGTATAGCAAGATCCTGTTGCCCCTGGGGATTTGTTTGAGGCAAGTTTTATGAGTGAGCATGGGCTTTTCTGCCCTGTATCGCAGGTACAGCAAACTTGTCGTGTGTTCTCTGACTATGCAAGACTCGAACTGGATGTGGATCAAATGTCCATTTGGTATGTAAACAAAAGGTTATTTATACGGCAAAGTTGCGTCACAAATCCCGTCCGTTGTTATGATCCATAATTGTTGTTGTTTCTTCGTGCGTTGTCTCACGTTGGCAACACAACGTATCCATACGTAGCTGCAAGTCGAGGCAGGGTCGTGGGCTCATGCGGTTCTGACTCACGATACACGCACAGGTGGTTGCTAACAATTGTCCGGTCTCGCGATGTACATTGGCTGATCGATCCAGTGGCTTAACTATCGCCGCAACAGCAATGGCTCATCGAGTAGATTCCATGTGTTTTATCTTTTTCTGTGTTCTTCAGATATGAATAGTCTGACTCGAACTCGAACCCAATAAGTGGATATTTCCGGTAGAGGCTTTCATCTCCACACAACGTTTCTGGAGTGATGACTATCACAACGGTTTGGAATTCATCATTAGATTGTTTGGATCCCCTGTTGTCCAAGTGGATTGAGGCGACGAATCTCAATTTGGACAGCCATTCGCTTCGAAGTAAACCACGGTCGGTTCGATTGTGAAGGTCGTATCGAAAGTAGACATACATCAGATAATATTTGTCGCTCCAACCGTTAAAGTCGCATGTTGGCCCCAACTAACGAGGGAAATTAAACAGCATTTCGCTCCAACATCGATCCATGTGGAAATGGTAAAAGCATCTTTGACAATGCGGCAAGAACACCGCACTGAAACCAGGTAATTGCCGGTGCTACTGCACTCGGGGAATTAGGCTCGTCGAACTACCAATAGAACAATGGCAGATTACGGGCAAAAATAGCGGATGCTTAGCAAGTCTCGTAGGATGGCCAGAATGCGAACCACAACATGGTGAATGAAAAACGAAGGGATAAAACGAAAATCGTTTTGGTGAACTCACCACAGTGTTAACACAGAGGCATGCTGAAGGAGGCAACCACAATTGTGTAGGTTAATTCTCATCATGCAACGTTCGTCGCATTATATCGTCTGTTGAGACACACAGGCTATATCTCGTAGTGTAGGTGGGTTAAGGCAACATCAAGGAGTTTTTTAAACACAGGTAAAGTGAGGGCGGAAATAACATAATTTGGGAAGGCGTTCCAAGGCTGACACACATGAAGAGGGTAGGAATTACGTAGACATTCTAGCCGACTGTATTGCATGGCTAACTTGAACTGGTGGCCCCTCAAATTCTTGTTGTGGCTCAGTTGTAGTAGGTGGCGGCAGACGTGGTTTGGGTTCCTTAGAATCTGGTAGTCCATAATAAGGTTGAAACGTAGGCGCCGGTACCGGCCACTGGATAATTTTAGGGTCCTCAGTTTAAGTTGATAAAGAAGAATAAACAACCCTTCGACGTATTTCGTGGCTCGTCGCTGTGGAGTCTTGAGTGCTGCAAGGTCTTGCTTGTGCCAGGACTGCTAGGCGTGGATTGCGTATTCCACTTGAGGTTGCACGTAGGTGTTAAGCAACTGCTAATAAATAGGGAGATCAAACCGTCCAAATCTCCTCCGCAGCATGTCAACGTGTGGGTTTTCAGCCTTTGACGCCTTCTCAGATTGTTCTGAGCAGCCCAGATCAGCGTAGACTACTACCCCAAGCTCGCGCTCCTCCGTGACTGCTTGCAGGACATAGTCTCCAGGTTTGCATGTGATATTCGGCTGGTGAATGTAAACTACCTTATACTTCCCTGAATTGAACTGGAGCAGATTGTGGAGTGACCAGTCGTACTCTCTGTGCAGGTCTCGCGGAAATGTATTGTGATCTCCTGCGTCGACGGTTGTCCATCACATATTAACCTCATCAGCGAACAGCGAGAAATCTGTGGCAGTCAAACGCGTAAGCTCTTTACTGAACACGACAAACAAACGCGACCCCATAAACGATCGTTTTGGAACCCCACATTCGACATTACTCGGATCGGACAGCATAGTTCGCACTCTGACTTGCAGTTGCCAGTCCTGCAGAAAATTCCTGATCCCCAACTCCCTAGCTTCCGAGCCTGTGAAGCAGAATGCGGTGGTCCAGTCGATAGAAGGCTTTGGTGAAGTAGAGGTAAATGAAGTCTGTCCCTCTGCCTTTATCTGCCGTTTCTGTCCAACTACTGCGTGCAGTCAATAGGTTGGTAGTACATAAAAGGTGTTGGCGGAAACTCTGTTGCTCGAGTGCTATGATGTGGCGTTCTAGATGGTAGTTGGGGCGGAGGCCAAACGGACTCAATATTCTGTTTCCCGTTTAGTCTCTGATTTGGAACGGCGGTCTTTATTAGTGGAGAAAGTGATCTCATTTTGCCAGTTGTTACAGCTATTGTTACCCGATACATTTTGCGGCACTAGTTCCTTGTTAACGATGTCAAACTAACTATTATACACCGCATTTTCCAACACGTCCATTAATTCTGCAATATTTTGAGGTCGCAGAGAGAAAGAATACCCCAGTCGCTTCGTACATCCACTCCCAGATTTTTGAGTTTACTCGACTTAGTAGAAACCTGTAGGAAATAGACACTTTCGGTTCTGATTTACAAGGGTGATTCTTGTTGAAACGGTTCGGAGTGGAGTCCCTTTACTGTTGTGGAGTTTCGAAGATGGAAGTGCTTTGGTCCCGATGAACCAGAATGGTACAGAGGGAATGCCCTGTGGTTCCAACAGACATTGCTGTATTTTTTTCTGTCTGTGCTAAAGTGAATGGTATCCCGATGTGCCTTTGGTATCTTCGTCCATCCTCGATGCACCGACACTGGTCCTTGGAAGGCCCGGTGATCGATTCGGTAACCGACCTCATGCTTCACTGGAACACTGACACTTTTTGTCGTGCTCACATTTCGAGACAGGCCTCCTGTTCGAAACATATTAAGCGGTGTACTCAGTTGGCGGGTCCGACGACATTCTCAATATCTCACACTTCATGTGCCCCATTAGAAATGTTTAATTAGTCCAATACACTCGTCAGTTGTTATTGTTGTTGTTAGATGTGGTCATAATTTGCATATGCACATGTATGCACACAGCCAGCCGGAAGTTTGTCGTAGATTCGTGAGCATGCAGAATATTTGGGAACATACACCAGTCGATCATACCTACCGGATCGATTGAGTTATCAACTCACTACAAAACGTTGCCGGCCCGGTACCAACTAGTGTTCAAAGCACACAGACGACACACGGACACACACACACACAAACGGACGAACATCCACCAAAATGCAATGCAATGATACAGGGTTTCCTAAGTGATTGGAATATGACAAGTGGGTGCATTGATGAGATGCCGCCTTGCATACAGTCATTTTAGATCTTGATCGAAGGGAGCAGAGTACTGGCGCAGATAGGTCATTACGAATCCTGAAATAACACAACCTCACAAAGTGCACTTGCACTAAGTTGAAGTGGTACAGTCTCGCCGATTAACTGTGCAGCTGAGGTGGATTCCACAACGAAATGGTTATGTATAATATTGGTGTACTTGACCGATTAACCTCCTCTCGCCCACATAGCGTACCATAGGATAAATTAGTACTAATCACCCCACCTCACAGAATCCTCAACCAAGAGCCCATGTGCACGTGTGTGTGTGTGTGTATGCGTACGTTTAATAATTCATCATGGGAGGCAGGGGACAAAATTTTGACAAAATTTGCTCACCCACGCGACCAGTGGCCATCTTGCGTCTTACATCCGCTTATAACCGCACACATGTTAAAAAGCAAGCCAGAGGGTGTTGCGATCATCTTCGGGCAAAGTGTACAGAAAAAGTGGCCAGGGATTTGACCACGTTGTTCCCCTCTCATCTACCCCGTGGCCCATTTGTAGCTTTGTGGTTCGAAACTTGTAGATGCAGCTACGGGACGATTATAACAGCCAGCCATCGCGAAGTTAACCTCTAAAATGCCATCGAAAACTACCATCATCCATGGCCTAGTACTCTCGGATGATAGCATTTAGAACTAATTTGAGCTGGCCCAATGAGCAAATGCGCTGTGACCCTGTGTTGCTAAGTTCTATGGAAACAAATTAAGACGAAAAGCAGGAAAAGGAAAACGATCAAGCTACATTCAAACGACGGTTGTCAGTTTATCCAGACTAACTTCGCAGTGGGCACATTTATGAGCACGTATTTAGGGGGTGAAATGCGCGTATGGCTTAGTGTGTAGTTTGCCTGAAGCTTCAAGTGGACCCAGCCACAAAAAGCTTACTGGCGAATGTTCTAAACGCCTCGTCTGGTGCCTTGGTGATTGGCACCTAGCACGCACACTGCGCATGAGTCTTGCGGGTGAGAAACTGGAAAACGCTTCCTTAGTTCATACATGCTATAATTTCTACGCATAGGGCCGGACTTAACAAAAAAGCTTCGGTCACATTTGTTTATACTTTTGACCTCATCGTAATTACGCATAATACACACCCATGGCAATAACAGGAGTAAGCAGAAAAATTATCATTCCGAATGTGATATTTAGCCGGTTTCCGCTTGCCGCGTTTTGCGCAACTTTTTACTCCAGTGATAATAATTGTTACACAAAGAAGCGCGGGTGTTTATATGTCGCTTTCGTGTTTCTTTTAGCAGATGCGAAAGATGCTTCTCCGGAAAAGTTTCGTGGAACACATCTTGAGCGCATCAGCCCACCCATGTTGGAAGCTTTACACGAGGAAAGACAGGTGAGAGACATGATAGCCTCAAATGGAACATCGCATCAATCGACGATTACAAGTGAGGATAGTGTCCGCTTTTCGCCAGAGATGGTTAAACTAGCTGGTTCCTCTGATACCGCCCTGGATTTAACCACCCGTACGGGTAATCCCACCGGAATGGCTATTCTACATCGACCTTGGTGCAACGATGATGTAGACGAGTTAACACACTCAACAGGCGTTGGTCATAAGCAAAGTTATGGAGACGCGACTGTCAGCTGCACCTCAGAGCCAATGAAAATAGTTGGAACCGAATCCACATCGTGTTCAAATGTAATGGGAATAATCACTACCTCAGAATCTCTGAACCGCAATGCCACCGAGATGAACATTTCCAACATTCCCCTTACCACACCCAGTCTCCCTTACATGTACGGCCCAGGGCCGCCAATCGACTTGTTCGCAGTTGCGGCCTGTGCAGCTGCCTTTGCACAAAACAGTCAAGCCACCGTTTCACCTGCACCTGCACTGTTTGCCTCCAGTATGCAACCGATTATGCAATCGCAAGCGCCCTTTTCTTCGACTGTCACCGTAACCGGTGGTTCACATGCTTTTCAGCAATGCGACAGATTTAACACTGTTAATGGAGGTACCGGGTCGACCACACCTAATCGTCATTTCACACATTCCGAGGTATTAGGCACGCAACAGACTTCCTGCACTCAACCTCCCTACTGGTCTTCCTCACTTGCTCTCTCTCCGTTCGGTGGCTTGCAGGGTCCACTGTCAAGTGCCCCACCGGGATCCATAGGCATGCAAGTCAATGTGAGAGCACAAACGCTGTATGATCAATCGATGCTGGATGATAGTGAACTTGATGATACGTGTGGACGGTCAAATAATCGAACGGGATCACCCAGTGGTAATAGGACCAGACCGTCCGAGGACTACTTGGAACAATTTATGAAAGTTGACCCTTCACAGAACATCTTATGGCGTCAATTGGCAGAACGTTTTCAACGAACTCTTGCTCCCAACCAATGTGGGGTATGCAACAAAGTGTTGAGCTGCCGCAGTGCGTTGACAATGCACTACCGCGTACACACAGGTGAGCCATAGCTAACACACAAACATGCATACAATGGAATGTGTGGAGAATGTTTGCTTAGTCAGTCACAACCACTGTTCACCTCCTTTCCCGAACGTGTCCAAGCCGCCGTTCACACGTAATAGCGCAGTAAATCTGTTTTCCAGGCTTATCATTCATTATGCATAACCGGTTTTTCGAAATGAGATGATTTGATGCTTATTGGCGTGGCAGCAGACGGCCGAGCCATTTGAATCGACAGTCAGAGGATTTCGCAAACTGAAATTTCCCCAGATTTCGGTGTGCTGACATACGTTAGGCATAATCTCCACATTAGGTAATCCAAGTCTCGGCACATGGTGCTGCAATCGTAATGAACAGTTGTTCCATTCGTCTCTGACATGGGTGGCAGTACCGGCCATTATACCACATTCACAGTTGAGATGGGTGGTCTGGGAGCCAACGCTTGTGTCCTTTTACGGTCAATTCTATAGGCGCTAGAAGACGACAGGGCACAATCTGTATAGCCGCCTCAAACAAACGGATAACCTGATGATATGTTTAACAACGTATGTACAGTAAAACACAACTAACACCCGCAATCTTTCTTACCTTCCAGAGGAACGGCCTTTTGTATGCATTATATGTGAGAAGCGATTTTCGACAAAAGGAAATTTGAAAACGCATTTGGGGGTAAGCCATTTGTTGTGTTGTATTTTATGAACCGTGACAAGATGGTGCTACTTTACGCGTAGCTCGATAGACATGTCTCAGATAGCCAACTAATTTCTGTTTACAAATGCTAAGCGGAGAATTGGAAATGGACGAAAGGTTTTAGTTGCCTCGCGTACCAATCAACTTTTAGGTGGGCTGTTTCTGTTACGATAGCTGTACTTATGCAATTTCATATTTTCAAGTTCTATCACACAATTACATGAGCGAAATTAATTCTATTTTTGTGAGTTCACGATAGCTAGTTGGTACATGTATCGGGTTGGTAAATGCGCATCAGTAAAGTGACGTTGAGAAGTTCCATCTCTATGAGAAGCGATTTCAACCAGTCTGCTGCACCACCCAAACTATGATCGTGGTTAAGTCACGCGGAGTAATTTCGATCTAAATGACTTGACTAGATTGTTATTGGTTATTTGAGAAGCAGGCATCTCCACTCTAGTGGAGCTTGGTACTCTGCGCATTTCTCATATTTTCTCAACCCACCAAGAGACTTTGAAAATTTCTATTCTATTTACAGCAACATCACGAAACTATTGAAGCCTATCGTAATGCTGTGGCTCTAGCGATGGCTACTGGGTCGGCTTTGCCACGCCCCCCTCCAATGTCTTCTACCACCGCCGTGCCCTCGACAGGAATGAAAGGTTCTGTCACAGAAAATACACCTCCTAACCAATCGAACAAGCAAGATGATGAGGCGACCGTGTCCTACGCGAACACGTCACCCAGCAGCTGCATGTACCGACTTACTCCGCCGGCAGATTTACCGATGATGTCCAGTTCCGTATCCTTCGGATTCCCACCGTGGAGCACAAGTTTAGGGCTTCTGCCATCGTTTCTTCGACCTATGCTTCCGTCAATTTTTATGGCACCCACGACACAAACCGGCAGATCGGACCAGAAAAATGCGGACGAATGGAAGCATATTGAGACACAGCGGACCGACTTTGCGAACAGGTCTTTTCAGACAAACGATGAAACCAAATGGGACACTTCGAGTACACCAAACAGCGCACACTTGTCCGGTGATTACTCATTCGCATATCAAACAATGAGAGCGGATGGCAAAGGTTCGAGTATAACACCAAACAATATCCAACGCACTGCGAGCACGCCTGTTAAACCACGCGCATTTGTCGGTTTTCCCAGGCAAATAAATGACTTATCCATATTAACAACCGAAAGATATAACTGACAGACTCCAGTGGTACTAAGATTGCCGAACACCTACTGCTCAGCTTGAGTTTGCGACGAGTTGCCGATGCCACCGGCTCGGCTGTTTCCGACTTCTTTGTGTTGTATATGCGCCGACGCAGAGATTGCTGTCCTCAGTTGCAATCCAGTGCACCTAGACCATGCCATTTTCTTACACCTCTATACAAACTATAGCTTCTCTTTTTTGCTTTGAGCACCGCAATAGATGTGTGCAAGTATTTTCGATTGTTCGTTCTCTGGTCCGTTTAGTATCGAATATAGACGGGGTGTGGTTCAAGCTTGTTCCATTTCGAATGATATAACACATCAATTTGGCAGGCTTTAGAACGGAATTCGACGCAAGACACCACTTGGTGCAAACCTCGTGTTCTAGTTTAACTGCTCTCACTTTGTCACTTCGGTCAATTTTAACTTCGTTCCTGAGCACAGCATTGGTTTTCGGCAAGGCAGAAGAAGCCAACTCATCCGATGACTGTTGTGGTGGAGACGTCATGATTTTACTATCATTGTGATTGCAGCTATTGTAGCTAGTGGGAATCATTAAAGAGCAGCATGACGTGCTCGGCGTTAGAACATGCAGATTCTCCACTGTTAAGCACTTTCCAGTGCAACAATCGCCAGTTGATTTTCAGTTAAAAAAGATTATTTAATTGTCTATCACCCATGTATTGCAAAATCCTAATGGGAAGTTAACCGAAAGAGAAGTTTACTGAGCTGACATCGCTTTTGGAGCAAACACTGCTCTCGGGACAAATTTCTGAAACCCAGAGAGTACATACATAGGCTTGTTTAGCTTAGTTCTCAAGGGGAAGAAACGGTCTCGTTCTGCCCTGGCTAATGCTCACAAATTTGGAGAACAATATGGAACCTTCTGTGACGGCACTTCTTTTGACAAGACTGAATCCAAGTAAGTATGATAATTGCTCTTCGCTTGATCCATCCCACCCTTCTGTCCAGTGCACGTTTTCGCATCGAGGCCGAAAGACACCCATACAAGCTGACACAGCGAGCTTGTTCACCTGCGGCTCAACAATTATCCGATGGGTGACTACATTTGGCATCGATGTCACTCTTGAGTCATCAGTATCCATTAAGGCCAACATTATAATAACCGATTCAATGAAATTTAATTGTAGAAATCTGGGCATGTAAACGAGGCTGCACCATGTAGTTCACAGTAGATCGAAACAACTTCCTGCTTGAGATCACTATTATCACTGGTGAACCACTGTTTCACAACTCAACTCATCAGGTCAGTTACCATGAGGATCTGTTTTCATGCTCTTGCTCCGTAGCCATCTACAAACGACTTAAAAACCAAGTGTTGCGAATACCTGGGGACCTTAAATTACGCTAATGCACCTTTGAATCGCCAATCTTCAATCACTTCTTTACTACATTACATTAGAATCGCGCAACCTACGATGCATTGATAAGTTAAGCCAGTATGTAGGTACCGGACAATGGTACCTCTGTTTTGACATTAGCATAAAGTCCGACAACCTGATGAACATTAAAAGCAAGTGAATGCCACGGAGGTACTCGCAAACTACATCCAGCAACGTAAGGAGTCATCGCAAGATCTCGTTGTCTGAGCACACTCTGGTTGGTTGCTAATTGCAGCAACCACTGCGTGGAAATCAGTCTTACAGACAGGATGTCTGGTGACGGTCATCTGGATATTGATGGATCCCAGTATCACAACATGCGTAGAAAGGTTACCGGAATGAGTTTGACCGCGGGGATTTAGCTACCCTGGTCAAAAGTGCTCGTTCGGTGGGATTTCTGCACAAATCAGAGGTTAACCTGTAAACGGAAAGAGATCCCAGTAGTAAGAAACTTCCTGACTTCCCATATTGGTGAGTGCGCGGTGAAAGTATAGCGGCTCCAGTGTCTAAACACAATTCACGTGGTCATGTGGGGCCCCAATGTTGGTGGGATGGACTGTATCCTCCATTCATTAAAGTTGCTGCGCTAACCAACAAACGTCAGCGTTAACCCTTTCGACAGCGTCACTTTTGGCTATGGACAGTTTGCTGCCCTGGACACTGTCATCGACAAATGCCGTGATTCGGGTTTCATTGTCAATGGACAGGGGACCCACCGAGCCAATATGGCTCTGTGCTCACCCCTGCTATTTTTACTGCAGCGTTGCTAATTTCTTCAAGTAATGAGTGGGAGCTTAGTGCCCCTTTCAGTAACCCCACTCAATATGTTCGTCTTTTGTTGAGTCAAGTTGAATTTATTCTTAGACCCATCCATTCTGAACTAGTGAGAATAGATTTAACCAGGGAACACACGTAAGCAATCAACCAATGAATGTATCCTAAGTGAGCACAGTTCCAGGCTGAAGGAAGACTACAGTCGGTATGAATTTTGGACGCCATTGAATAATGCACCGGCGACAGGTATTACTTAGGTTGGTGACAGGTGAAATCAACTATAGGCACCGTGACCACGGTAAACAAAGGAAGTTGATTTGTGACTACATGTACTTTTAAAGCTTAGCTGTCATCAGGCTGATTCACCACTTAGCTAACTTCCGTTGAGATAGTTTGGCACATCACATGTCGGCCGACAGCTTTGCTGGCAAATATTTGCTGATCTTTTCAATGGTTTTTCGACTGATATTCCCAGGGAGAAGCTAAAGACAATGCAAACATTGTCGCACTTCTAGAAAGGATAGGGATCGATGCTGGTCGACGATTAGTGTGGCTGAATGCGAATCCGAAAGACTCAGGGTCAAGATGGTTTGTTCGATTTTCACGGCGTGTGCAACGGGCCGAGGAACATTGCAGCACTAAACCTGGTAGATTACGCGGAAAAACGCTAAAGTTTGCTTTGTTTGGTAGGATAATATGAATGGTACATATGAATTCAAAGAAGAAATTCATCAACCAAACAGGTCACCTATCTATGGACTCACCGTGGCAGTGAGATTAACACTACTATCGATGAACCTACCTCGATTTCTTGGGGCTGGTAGGCGCAGTGTTTGTTTGCGTTTGGCGTTACAAGATGTGGGTATTATCACGTAGTGTCAACTGTGCAATGCATCGTCGAGTCTTATTTTGATGAAGAAATTGGCTGCAGAGATGACAAGTCGGCAAAGTATTTCACAGTCGTGGCATTCGAGGAGGAAGGCATTTCGGTGACATTCCAACCGTCTATGTGGCGCCGCCAGCTTCACCTGGTATCACTTCCGTTTGCTGTCATAACGACGTTCCAATAGATGAGTACGTTTCAGTAGATGGCGACAAACGTGAGAAGTTTATCAAAATATGTTAGATAAGGATGTGGTCACTCCGTAGAAGACGATGCCTTCAACTATACGCTATGGTTTGACGGGAGGCGGAGCAAACCCAGGAAGACAAATACTCACCGGAACACAATTCCATCAAGGTGCATGCAGAAAGTTGGGAACACCCGCATAGCTGGCTGCGCACTGGATGCTTTTGGGTCAACTCTGGCAAACCACCCACGCAAAAATTCTTTTTGGGGCATAAAAGTCCATGTAATTCCGTCTCCATGGCCAAAATATCTATTTCGGACGACAGCAGAGTTTATACTCTGTCCGCAGTTCCTCAATCTTTCTAACGGATACTCAACTTCATGTTGATGCAGATTGGAGTAACAAACGGAAGACTAGGATATGAAGTCCGCTTTGGTCACATTAACTAGACTATCGCCATCCAACAATAACCCAGCAATATTACCCGCTAACTCCTCCAGTCTAGTACACCACGCAATACACTTTCAACATGTCGTATTACAAAAGCTTGCTACTCTTGTGGCACATTCTCACCTAGTCATTTATAAAGGAAGAAACACACGAAGCTGAGCGCCCAAGTGCCGTCTAGTCTTTTGAAGCTCTGCGCACGAGATACACCAGAGCACCATATGATACTAGTTGGGAATCTTACACTTCACTTGATGACATGCCCACTTAAAAGGTATTCGGATAAAGTAATTGCTTTATTGCTTACTTGCAGCGAACCATTGTCCAGATGAAAGAAATGCGACTCCGTATGGAGAGGTGAATTGTTAGCTTTGAATGTTTGACTTCCATATTCAATATTGTCCCCTCCTGTGCGACTGGGTGATGGCTTGATTGCCTGAGGGTGATCATTCATCATCTATGAGCATCCCATTCTCCATTGCATGCGCAGCTGCACCATGTTGAGGCTTTTCCGGCTATTTTTTTTGCTCCCATAAACCGGACTGGAATTTCGCCCGAAGAGACCCACTGACGTACTTACATCTCATCCGGGTGCAATCATCCTAATGGGTAGCGTTTGACATTCACTTGATGATGTTTAATATATCAAATTGACCATACTCCGAGCCGCGACATCAATTCACTCGGACAATGCTTATCTCCTGCTCCCCCCCTACCCCGAGTTCTATACTGACACCGACCACCATCACCCCATCTTCCAGTGATACGACGAAGAAATAATTGAAAATTCATGGCTGTCATCAGTGTTATTGTTGCGGTCGAACTTCCATTTCCGCGGGCAAGTGAATGGGTGAGCGGGCGTGCGGACGGCTGTGCACAACAGAGCGAGCAGCTCCGTGCCCAGGCCTCCTCTTGCACTAGGCTTTCGTGAGAAGACCAGAGAGGCTATTGGTTTTATGCGCACTTTGTGTAATGACTTGTGTTCGCTTGTGGATGTGGGCCATGCATTTGAATCGACTCCCGATACGCACAAGCAAATGGATGCTTGTGCCTGGTATGTTAATCAACACCCAGGTCGTTATCCTTCCTTGTTTGCTTACACGTCTGTCGGTCCGATTTTGTCACTGGGTCGAGTAAGCAGTTCCGTTCTGCAAACCTGTCAGTGGATGATGGACGAGTTATGCAATGCTTGACGTTGTCGCATAAGAATGAACGTAGGCAGTGTGAAACCCGGCTCGACACCAACCTTAGTTAGGCCCAGACGTCGTAATGAGAGAAGCCCAACTTTCCGACTGTGACCGCTGTACCGCGCTTTACCCATCATCGTCTCAGGA